CCTCTTACGTTCTTCGTAGGCATTCTCTGTTGAATTGACGACTTCTGAGTTTTGGACCTTCATCCCTTTCTCTTCTACCTTGCACTCCTGTATTGCTTGTTATAAAGGATCCTCAGGGTTACCAAGAACCTTAGCTGAACAAACTAGAGTTCCATCCTTGTTTACCCAAGGAATCTCCTTATAGGTTCATTTCTCATTCGAGGGCTACTGTGGCTGGATATATCCCGGTGTAATAAATCCGGCTATAAGCATTTCTGAACGTAATTTTTCAAGCGAAAAGTGGAAGGGAGGGAACTGAAAACCCTGCACTTTGTTGTTCTTCTCATTTAGTCCCCATGACGAGAGACTACTTGGCAATGACTTTATAGATAGAACTTGCGTGTCCTGCCTTGATGATTAAAAAGGGGTAGGACCTCTAATCATGAGAGGTTGATCCTTCTTAGCTTTCTTTGTCAACATTCGATTATATTCTATGACCCTCTTCTTTAAGCGAAGCTTATCTCTCACAAGGGAAAGAACCTCCTACATGGTTGGCCCAGTGGAACCTTCTACAACCACATTTGGTTTTTATGAGTTGCTTTTGAATTTTCTCGATCTTACTAATACGCGCTAGTATCTCATTAATCGTTGTGGATCTTTTTACAGACAAGCTTTAGGTAATGTTGACTTACTTTCAAAGCTTCTCTTTTAATTGCCTTTTCCTTGAACGAGCTCGGTGTGTCCAGTTTTGTTCCTTTTTATGAGACATCTCTTGTTAGTTAATGTGAATGTAATGAGGAAAAAAGAAAGAAAAATAATGCGAAGTATGCAAAAATGCATGATGCATGAAATGTTCGAGGCATTGATCCAAAAATGTATCTATCATTATAAATAATCCTTATTGGGGATGAAAAAAGTGTTACATCTTAAGAGACAAAAAACATTTTAAAGGCGTAGACCCCGAACACTTTCGAACTGGTTGATTCATCTTCAACTTTTTTCAATCGTTGGTTGAATGCCCTATCGAACTGTTCCGGCTTCTCTGGCTAAACTGTGGAAGTGACGAGCTGCTTGCGCCAAAAAAGTCTCGAATGACTGCATCTTCGACTTTTACTCTCTGCTGAGCCTGTTCCTAACGAAAGTGCCATTGGAGTCCTCCATAGATAGGAACTATCCGAAGCTTGCCTCTTGAATTTGTCAATAGTGGTATCCAGTTTCAGCTATTGCTTTGTCATCATGTTTTTGTTGTCTTTGAAGTAACTCTTCAGGTAGTAACCTTTTCTCGTCTTGTCCCTGTAACCTTTGTCAGCTTAAAAAGTCGACTTTCGGTGTGTATAGTGTAAATCCTGGTCCATTCTGAGTATTCTCTGACCATAGTCGGACTTCTGGGCTTTTCATCTCTTGTATTATAACCCCTTTGTCCATTAATGCAAATTATTTACGTTTAACGAACACATTTTTGGTGGATCAACACCTCTTTTGAATGATGCAAATGATGAAAATAAAAAAAGAGAACAAAAATGAAAAGAGTTAGTGAGGTAAAAATAATCATGAAAATAAAAGTCCTACCCCATATGATATCTACCCCCATATGCTTAACATTCCTACCTGGACATGATCTCTAACCCGCAAGTTGATTTTGAACAAGTCCTAACTACATAAATTTCTAGTTCACATGCTTTGGGCATAAAATAAGGTAGGAAATGAACTCAAAATAGCCTATTGTTTGAAATGAGGTTTTGGGGTGGGCTCAAATTCTCCATAGTCTCCCGATTTAGGTTTTAAAAAAAAGACTACTCGAGTTCTCCTTGCTGGTGTCCCCTTGGGCTTACAAGACCCTTAGTCCTAATCCCATTACAGGCTCATGTGGACTAAGTTAAACTCGAGGAAGCATTACCTTATGCCCGCACGGTGAATAAATTCACACGAAGACATAAGGTATATGAATCCCGAAGGCTACTTGCTAGGCCCGCACGGTGAATAAATTCACATGAAGGCATGACTTTCACCCCCACTTAAATAAGGTTCGGAGCTCGGGTATAGAGCCTTAGATGAAAAACAAGTTTAGAAGGCTGAAATCATTAGAAAACGGTTAATAAAACTATTTACTCGAAAATATAATCAAAAGTAAGCAATAAGGATCGAAATGTTACCTTAAAATTTAAACTTACCCTTTTCGTTAAAAAGACAACTTGAAATTACCTTAGCCTGACTCACTTACCTGTCCCCAGCGGAGTCGCTAAGTTGTCGTAACCGTCTTTCGGTTGGGCCCGAAATTGGGCTTCGACTTGGATTAAATGAATTAGAGTCGCCACCGATAATTTATTTTACGAAAAATGGGTCAATCAGATACCTTATTTCTTACCTGATCTGCGTCTTACCAAAGATGTGTCGGATTCGGGAGTCGGTTACAGTCAAGGAAGGGTTAACACCCTTGAACTACCCTTTCGATACTACGTAATTTCTAGTTGTCTTTAATTAATAAAGTTGTAAGTTTAACTAAAAAGGTAAAAAAGAATCGATCCAAATTTCTTACATCTGATAGATTTGAACAAAGAACCTTAAAAAGATACTGATGTTTATAATGAAGATCAGAGTCGAATTAAGATAAAAAAGTATGTACATATGCGAATGATAAACAAAACAGAAAAGAAAGATAATGAAGTAAGTATGAATAAAAGAAGAAAATAGATACAATGATAACATAACAAAAAATATGACAAAACAAAAAAAAAGGAAAACAATAAATATAAAAATCAAAATCAAAATCAAAAATAAAATAAAAATAAAATAAAATAAAAATAACACAAGAATAAAAACAAAGAAAAATAACAAAAAGAAAAGAATATATATACATATATGCACACGTAAATAAAATACCTAAAAATATGAGAAATAAAAATAATATATAAAAGATAACAAATAAAGAAAAAGAATAAAAAAAGGAAATAAATAAATAAATCAAATGAAAAATAAAAAACGAAGAAAACATAAAAAAATATATGCATATATATATGAAAAAATAGGTAAATAATAATTATAATAATAATAATAATAATACTAGGAATAATAAAAATAATAAGAATAATAAAAATAATAATAGAATAGTAAAAGGGTATAAAACGAAATAGATAAATATATATACATAATAATAATAATAATAATGATAATAATAATAATAAATAAAAAATAGAAATAAAATAGAAATAATATTAAAATGGTTAAATTGAATAGAAACTGAAATTAGGGGCAAATTTAAAAGGAATTGGGGGAAACTGGAAGCGTTGTAGAAAGATAGGGACCAAAAGGTGATTTTCCCTTTTTGAGTTCAAAAACACGCGGGTCTGGTGACTCGGGTCGAGTTGGCGAACGGATTTTATGGGCCATGTATAAAGGCTAATTTTTTTTAAGAAACTTCATTTCTCTCCTTCTCGCACAAAAAACCCCTCCCCATGCTCTTCATTTCCTCTTATTGTTCATCATAAAGGATGAACATGCCGCCATGGGGTTCATGTGAACCCAGAAATCAGCCACACGCCGACGGCATAATTTTTTTTATTTTTAAAACCCTTTTCGCATCCTCTCTTCAAATATCAAGACTATTTTTTGAAGAAATGCCTCAAGGGGAGTAGATATAGGAAAAAAAGATCCGAACATCCACCTTTGTTCATCGGAAAAAAACCCTTTTTTCTCTTTCTTATTTTTTGAATCAAAACTGCAAGACAAAAGCATGCAAACCCTCAAAAATGAATAAAGGTACGAACTTTACCTTTCGTTATTTCTTTCGAAATATAAGTGCTTCGAAGAAATTACTGTTCTTGGCTACGAGTTGCTTGTAATGTGCTTGGCGTTTCTTATAAAAATTGAAAAAAATACATGTATTTCTCTTGAATATTCGTATATTCCGAATGTCTTCCCTTTACAATGATGTGTTAAATTTATAGTAAAAATAATATATTATTTTGTTGGTGATGTATGGGTGTTCCACACGCTCACGATGGTTGCTTGTTGTCGAGATGTTCGGTTTGTTGCTGGGGCGAGAGGATCGACGGGAGTTACGGCGCTGGCTTGAATGGATTAGGGTTCTGGAAACCCTAATTGTTGCGGGTTGCTTGGAGGCCGGTTCGGGTTAAGGCTCTATTGGATCCGATTCGGGCTCTATCCGGGTCACGTGGGTTGCTGCTGCTGGGTAACTGGGCCACTTGGGTCACTGCTGATGGGTCACCAATCTGGGCTCAGCATTTGTTGTAATACGGGCCTGATACAAAACATGTAAAAACATTTAAATGTAAATATATGTATTATATAATATAATATGTAAACATTATGTACAATATTAGAAAAAATTTAGTGTTTTCAATATGTATTTTTAGAATCTCTCTCAAAGAATTTTTTTAATATTTATTGAAAAAAACATGTTTTATTTTATTTTTACTAATTTTTCGTTAATCCCGATCATATATGCTACTACTCATTTTACTCTTTCAGTCTAAACCCCCCCCCCCAATCTATATCTCAAAGCATTCTTTTAGAATCTCTCTCAAGAATTTTGAATCGTTAAGTGTTTACCCTAAATATATATATATATATATATATATATATATATATTAATATGTTAAGAGAATTAATTTTAATCGTACGAGTAAATTAAACTCCGTGAATGAACCAAAATCAAAATAACTTTTGTGTCTTTTCAATAAGGTATTATTTTTTTTAATTGGTGTTTTTTTATAAAAATTATATGTCTATTTTATCGTTAATTTATAACAGTCAGGTAAGTTATCTTGTTAATTTTTAAATTGTTAATTGACAATAACTAAATAATTATATAATTTCATTAACAAAATTTAAAAGATCTATAGTTAAAATAAATAGTTTACCCCCCCCCCCAAAAAAAATACAAGAAATATCCAAAAATAAAGACATTAGCTTTCTAATCTCCATAGTTGTAAATAGTCGGTGAAACAGACGAAGTCTAGAGTGCTCTGTTTTAACTCTGATATCTATCGAAAGAAAAAAAAATGGATGCAAAGCTGTTCCTTCTGCCATGCTCATTTCGCTTGCAACCCATGCTTCCACCCAAAAATATGCGCCTCTCTCCTTTCAACACTACTTACCCTTCTGGAACAGGTTACTCCCTATCTCTTCACCCTTTTTTTTCTACCCTCAAAAGATTCAATCAGGTTGCTTATTTGCTTCAAATTAGTTATTTATCATTTGTTTTCTGGGTGGTGGGGTTGAGCACAGTTTTGAGGAGGTGCATGAACAAAGAAGAACAACTTCTGGAAGGGATGCCAAAGGAGTATTACGATGATGTATGTTGTTCTCTTTGCTTATCCGGTTCACCCTTTCTTTCTTTTTTAATCCTGTTTTTGGACTGTAATTTTTGCTTCTTACTCTTTGGTTAATAGATATAAATGGGTGTTCAGGATTTGCTATTTCTGGGTAACTTCTGAATTTAGCTTATTGTAGTGCATGTTGTGTATAGCCACGCTTATTTCTAGGAAGAATTCAGCGTATGAGTCAGTTTTCTGCTAATTCTCATGTAATTTAGTTATTTTCTTTGTATTTCCTATTGGTAATTTGGTTTGGCGTCTAAAATTTTTTATGTTCGTCCCCCTAGAATTTTGTAAGTTTCCCATGTGTCGTCCCTGCATTTGAGTGTATAAATATTTCAGAAAACTTGCATAGTCGTGTTTTTATTCGATACACTTGGCCCTAGAGCAGGTTTTAATATACAGTAGATGGATAGATGCCCATTGTAAAATATGTTGATCTTTTAATCAGTGTTGTTTTATTGACTAAGAAACTGACATTGATTATATTTTGGTTAGGAATGGCAAGCCAGACAACGGGAAAAATCAAAGGAGTTTCATAGAAGACGTCGGGAGGAAGAGGAAGAAGAGGAAAGGAAGATCGAAGAGTACCGTGAAATAGGTATGCGTTTGAAGGGGTACCCAGATGAAGAAGTTGTAAAAGCAAGAAAATTAGTTTCAAGCTTCATTAGGGCTGAAGAAGAGGTGGAAGAGGTAATATATGTGCGTGCAGAGCCAAAAGGCAGTTCATTAAAACAAGTTGAATTTTGCCAAGAAAACTGAGTTTTCTGGTATGAATAAAGTTGTCTCATGATATTTTACACCTAAACTGGGACAAAGTCCCTTCTTGGAGATAGGAACATTATCTTTGGAAACACTTAGAACAATCTAATTTGACAAGATTACAAACACCAGGGCAAGGAATTGCCAAAGTAGCCTTTCTGCAACTCTCTGTATAAAATATTACTGCATTTGTATTGACATCACTTCTCTTGGCATGCCCCTTACTTTATTCTTATGCAGCAAATTGAGGAGGCTGCAGAGAGGGGTGAACTTACTGAACTTGTGCTAATGGTTATATGGAATCGCCTCGATCTTGCTCGGCGTGATGTAAGTGTGCTTTTAGTACCTTTCCATTTTGGTTGCACTCAATTTTGCCTGTTTTTCTTCTTTTCCAGCCTTTCTTTTGGAGATTTGACATGTCCATGGAAAAATGTGCTGCTACTTGTGAAAAATTAAAACCAATTTTGGATCCTATCTGAACCAATTGGGATGTCGGAGCTTTGAAAGCCATAGAAAAATCACCTCGTGCTATAAAAAAGCACAAAAGTGGTAACAGCTATAATAAGATCAATCAATGAAGTTATTCTTTTCTGTACTGGGCATGACATACTTGTTGATTAGTACTTGGAAACTAAACACCCAAAATTTATTGTGCGAGAGTAAATGCTTATTTTTTTCTTTTCAAAATTGATCTTGTTCGTCTTGGTGTATAAGATATCCATTGATCTTATGTTACACTGGCTAAACAACCTGTCTCTTCACACAGCCTACACCTGGGCAGTTATCAACTTTGAGGACTGTAGCACTAGACCCTGACTATCTCTTTTTTTATGTGTGCACGAGTTGACTTATTCCATGAAGAAAACCCTTTTAGCAAGCAAACAACCTTATGAATCTTATTTGCATTTTTATTTCAATGTAAATTCTGGGAACTCCTGCAATTGGTTTGAATCAGCCTTGTGAATGATGCGTTTAACATAACATTGCCTGATAAGAATGGGGTTTCAAATTATATTCTATGTGCTAATGCTACTTTTGGTAGGAGTGTTATTTTTTTACTCATGTTTTAGTACATGAGCTAGCAATAAATTAACTTCACTTAGCAATTTTGAGCTACACACGACTTAGTTTGAACAAAGTGAATGAATATATATTGCTTACTTTGAAGAGGTATTATTTTTTTACTCGAGTTTTTACTCATCTTTCTCATTTCAAGTTTAGATTTGTACTGATTATTCTTTATGTTAGGACAAACTATTTTAAAACTTATGCAATATAATTAAGCTTTTCCTTGTGTTAATGCTTATGTAACCAAACGAGGCATAAGTGTTATGCAGTCCTTGCAGTGACCTTAAGTTCTCTGTTTCTCTCTTTAGTGTATTAACTAAACTTTTTTTCAGGAAGAAAAGGATGCCATTAGGAGTCTTGATCTCCTATACAGAAGAGTCGAGGTATGCGCTATTACTAAATATTTTGATTACCAATCAGAACTAAATTCTGTTCAGTGGTATTATAGATGTTATCAACTTGCAATATGATGCTAGAGAGGTTCGATTTTTATTACTTGCAATGTCGAATCCCTATCTCATATTCTGATGAATGCCTTTGATTGTTACTGATTATCTTCAGAAATACCCAAAACTTATTGATGCATCAAACTATCATTATCAGCATTTACCTTGCACCTTCAACCTTGGACCTTTTAATTTCTTCCAGAACCTTGAAAAATCATTTGATTTCATGGATATGGTTGGTTTCTGGCTTGCTTTATTTGGTTTTAACTTGATCAGTAAGAGGAAGAAACAAGATTATAATCAACAGTTAGTCATTATAATACAGGAAGTAAAAGCTGTCAATTTTCCCCCCTGAATTGCTCTACTTTGCTGGTGTGCCGGGTTTCTGGCCGTTAATCCATCACATATCATGCAATAAGGGAATATTTTTTGTTTGTTTCATCTCCACTGACCTTATTAAGTTCTTGCTGTTGTTCAAGCTCTTACTGTAAAACAACTGAAAAACAATCTATGTTTTACTTTATATTTTAGACCGAGATATTGAGACGGGAAGCTACTCCGGCTATGAGGCTGCTCAATGATCTTTTGAACATGCACGATGGGTTTGACGATTCCGGATGGCTGAAGGAATGCAAAAAACACATGGTTGATACTTTTCCACGGGAGGATCCGTTCAGCATCCTTGTACCAGCTGGTTTTGATATCGATAAGGTACGCAGTTATTTATTCTTACTATCATTTTTGGAATTATGAACTTTTGCATTCACATCTGGATATGGTACACGAGACGTGAAAATGAAATCTCTATCATATTTCATTACTAAATCTAACGTCTTATGTTTAAGCCATTTCTGTTACGATGCTTCTCTTTGTGCAATATATACAGGCCTTCTTGGTAAGGCAACAGTAAGTAAATCAATTGCATCGATTCAAAGTCCTTGTCGCCTTTGGTTTTAGGAACCGGAAAAGCTCACCTGGGAAAATCTTATCCTTCTAAAGTAGTACCATAGAAGTCGAGTGTACACATAATTCGTCAAATATGCATCTTGAATTTTGTCTAAATATAGGGTGACATTCTCTACCATCCATGCAGTGATATGCTCATAAATGCTACATTAACTTATTATACCTGACTTTATTATCAGCATCACGGTCCATTGTCACTGCCAGCGGAAGCCGATGATGTTCTTCTGAGAGTAGATTTCATTAGAGAGGTCGATGCTTTGCTACAAGAGGTTCGATCCGAACAAAATGAAGCAGAGAGTGTCGAAGGGTTTGATCCAGAATCTGTTGCAGTAAAATTGAAGGAACAGGAGAGGAAACGAACCATACGCCAAGTTGAAATTCTTCTAGACTTGGCCATTAATTTGAAATGGTAGCTATCCAGTTTTCTCTCATCTGCTTCGACATATTTGTTAGTGTTTAGTTCGGAAGATCCGATGAAACCTGTAACTGTAGGTAGATACAGCATTTGCAGTTTCAAGAGTATATAACATGTAGATTACAAAGAATTTTTGCATTGAAGCACGTATGACTACATCATCCGACTGACTTCGAAATATTTTATTTTTCCATTGAAAATAATTAATGAACCGAATCATTGTTCCATGGTTGAAGAATAAAATCTATGGAAATCCAATATGAAGAATTTAACTGTAAAATTCAATTGAATTATATATAATTAAAATTTGTATAGAATTTTATCTTATTTCTGTTACATGGAACATTATCAAATTGTTGAGGTGTGTACGAGTAGTTTTCTTTAAGACATTTTTTTTCCGTTGCCTGCGAAAACGTTGGATGACTATTTTTCATGATACAACAATGAACATTTACCATTCAAACTACACAATCTTATTGAACAATCAAATTTAACTTTATCTTTTTCTATAATCATATAAACTAGTTGGCCAACCTTCTTTCGTAAAAGAATGAGATTTAATAGAATTTAAAAAATATTAATAATAATTAATTTTTAAGTATTAAAATTAAAAAAAATTTAAAATCAATATCATACGCTTTATTGGCAATTGATTTCATATAAAAAATGTTAATGAGAATTGATTTTCGAATCATTATTATATACAAAATGATATTCTCTTGAAAAAATAAATTACTTTTTTTGATAGGCTCACACATATCCAATCGATATAAACATTTTGCATCGTCTACGTCGTTGAGATGGATCACTTCAACAAATAACTTACTTTGAACATCGATTTCTAATTCATCACTTAATCATTAATTGTTTTAAAAATTCTTTTAAAAAATAAAATATAAATCAATAATTTAAATCATTAATTGTCTTAAAAGCTTTTTTAAAAAATAAAATATAAATCAATAATTTATTATTCAAACTTTCAATTTTTTAATAACGTATGTCTCAAGAATCAAAATACCTATTATTTTCAAACAAAAACCTCTGTTGCGTCTCTCGTTTTCACCTTTGACAGTCGCTGCATGGTTTTTCAAGCATACGAATCAGCAAATTCAGGTCCTTCAACTGGGTCTCAAAATCTCCATTACTCGCTTTTAAATATTCAACCGGCCGTACCAAAATCTTGTCCACGATCCCTCTACTCATATTCTCCACCAACAATCTATCTTCATCAGGCGTTCCCTTTAACCTTCCATTCATCTTTTGAACCCCCAACTCCATAAACTTCTCCACTACTCCCCTCAGCCTGCAGAAAACGATTTCAACTTCCTTCTCTAACGTTTCATTGTTTTGCTTGGTTTTCACCTCCCTTGAATACCCACTTTCGCCTTCATTCTGGTTAAACAAAAGCTGTCCCGGCCTCGTAGAATGTGGGTGTTGAAGAGAGATGTCGTTGATGAAATGATCAAACCTTCTGGTTTCTTACGATGTTTTCACCGTCGATGAAATGAAGAGAATGTCGTGAGATTGATGAATATTAGAAACCAAAAATGGGACGGGAAAAGGGTTGGTTTTTGGCAGCAATTTGATGGGGCATGGATTTGGCAACATCGCCATTGTCGGTTTTCTTCAAGCAGCGTTGGGAGATATTATTGAGAAGGTTGAATTGGATATAATACAAGAAGTCAAATAGAGTAATGGAAGTAGTATGTAATGGAAGCTCAAATTATGTCGTTAATTTTAAATTATGGATTTAATCTTGTTCTAATAAAAATTATATTTCATAAAATTCATCATTTTCACGTGACAAAATTTTAATCTATTTAAAGATATTTATTTTAGTCTAGAATTTTTTTAATATTTAACTATTTCTCTTTTAACTTAGTTCGAACAACGGAAAATCAAGGAGTTAAAGGAGTTAATTAATATAATATAATATAATATAATATAATATACATTAAGTGCGTATGTGTAAACTATATAATTGTGGATTTATATATATATTATATTACTATATTATATTATATACATTTTTGTATGTTTAATATATGTATTACGCATATATATATATATATATATATATATATATATATATATGGTGCGGGTTCTTGTAACTGTCCTTCGAGTGGTATCGAGTTTTGACTTAAATTAATGTGATGGAGCCGCCACCGATCATTTCAAATTAGGTTGATCGGACACCTTAACCTACCGTTTGTCTGATCTAATTCTTACAAGAAATTAGTTGGATTCAGGAATCAATTACAATCAAGGAAGGATTAGCACCCTTGCACTGCCCTTTCGGTACCAATTTGATTCCCCGGTTGTCTTAATTGAGAAAATTTAAATTTAAATTTGATCTGAATTACTTACCTTTGACAAATTTTAAAATAGCCTAAAAAATGTAAAATTAATGTTAAACTAATAAAAAAGATCAGGGTATTGAATTAAAAAACACAAATATTAAATAGGATTAAATTGAAAAGAATTAAAATTTGAGGGTTAAATTGATACTAGATGAGAGCTGCAGAAAAAAAATAAAAAGGTTAGGGGGACAATTTATAAAATATGGAAAATATAACTAAGGATTAAATTGAATTAATTCAAAATTCAAAGGCAAAATTACAATAGGTGACCAAAATGAACTATGCATCAAAACTTTAGGTATTGCGGAAAAAATTTAAAATTTTAGTAATTACACAGAGGTCCCACTATAAATAGCCCGAAAATCACAAATTTCATTCATTTTCAACCATTTCTCAAAACCAAACTCACCAAAACTCTCTCTCAACTCTCCCAACTCTTTCCCCAACCGGCCAAAAGCCAGCTACTCGCTGTCGAAGCCCCACCGCCTGAACCACTGCTCCGGCCACCGCCATCGGTGGCCAGAATCCTAAAAGCTAGCCTAAATCACTTCTCTCAACACTCGAAAGCATAACCCGAGGCCTGAATTTCTAAAACAAACCCCAAACAACGTAGATCTAAAAAAAAGAAACATTCGATTCTTACATTTTCCGACGAGTCTCTTAAACTTCTGGCGATCTTTCCTCATCCGAACAAAAACAAGACTAAATCTTGGTTTTTATGATTTTTTTTTCTTGCAATTTGCGAGATGTTTTGCTTGATTTTGTTTGGTATTTCGATACTTCTCCTCTCTGTCCTTCTCTTGTTCGATTTGCAGGTATATATAGCCCCTCGACGGGTTTTTTCCCCTCATCCCCGATTTACTCGGGTTTGTTACTATTCGTGATGGTCGGGAATCACGAGAAAATATTTGTTCCCGATTTTGTTTCGATTTGATTGTGCTTCCTGTTTTGTGTTGATTGTTGCTTCGGTCAGTGTTTTGGGAAGTTTTCCCCTGAAATCGCAGTTGAGAAAATATGGGAGTGATGTTCTGGTCGGCGCATGATCTTCATGCGCCGTCCATTTTCTTGCTGGTGGTGTTTTGTCTTCTAGAATGTTTTAGGGCTCTCCTGACCGTTGGATTGGATGCATATCCAATGGCCTAGGATTGGTTGTGTATATGTCTTATACTTTAGGGTTTAAAAACCCTAGCCACCTTTGATATTGACCATTCATTTCCTTTTAATTATGCGGTTCCCCGTTGTGCGGTGCGACTTGAGTGTGAAATCCTAACATGCTCTTCTGCTAGGTTAGGCAGGCGGGCTTGTTTTGGATCTTGACTGGAGCTGGGCCATTGGACTTTTGGACTTTGGACATCATTTTAGATCTGGAAAATAAATAATAATAAAAATTAAATAAAAGAAAAAGAAAAGAGGATTATATATATATATATATATATATATATATATATATTAAAACTATATATTTTAAAAATTATATAATATATATTATATTTTCAAAACCCGTATGATTTCAAAAATTATATATATTAAACATGTTTTTAAAACTTATATGTTTTCAAAAATATATAATAAATAATATACTATATATTATGCCATATATATATTCAAAAAACCATATTTTCAAATATATATATGTGTGTGTGTGTGTGTGTGTGTTAAAACTCTGAACAAAGTTCCATACGAGAATCAATGTTTACAATTACCCCTCTTTGTCTATTTTCGTGTAACGATAATAAGACAAAGAAAAAAACATGAATTTTCGTCTGATTCTCAAAACAAAAGGGTACTCTGAAGGCTAGCTTGCTCTTAGGATGTCTAGTTGTTTTCAAGAATCGGATCAATCTTCTAGTTCAGTTAAGATTTCTTCAAACTCGATATCCTTCATCGTGAAATTGAGATCTTGCTTGAAGTTGTATATGAATGTTCCTCAAGTCGGATATCCTCCTTCATGGAGTTGGAATCTGACTTCGAAGAAGATTGACTGGAAGATGGCTCCTCGCTACTGAGTTAATCCAAAATACAGTCAGTTCTGGTTGTGCTTCTAGGTCAAGTATCTTTTGTCATGAAGTTGAAACTTGGTCTAAAAACTGGAAGCTAGCACATTGCCGCTGATTTAAGCTAGATTGACTTTCGAACCCGACATCCTCCAACGTGGAGTTGAAAATGACTTTGAAAAGATTAACCAGAAAGTAGTCCCTTATTGGTGAGTTAAACCACGATGTGATCCTTGTGCTCTCAAGTTGAAACTGAACTCAGGAGATTTGAATGTAAACTAGTTCCTTGTTGTTACCATGCGGTCGGTGTGCTTTCAAACTGAATGGAATTGAACTTGAAAGTCTTTTTCTCGAAAAATAGCTCATCTCGCCTTGAGCTATGTTTTGAAAGGTTATTCCAAGTGAAAGATGACTCCCCTTCGTAGGTCTAAAACGAACAAGATGAGAAAAAAGTAGTTCTTTGTTGCTACATTACGGTCGATGCGTTCTCGATTTGAGTGGAATCGAACTCAAAAACTTTGGTTGACAACTAACTCTTCTCGACTTAAGCTATGTTGTAGATGATTCCTTCAGGTGGAGGATGGCTTCCCTTTGCAGGTCTAAGCCAAACGGGATATTCTTCAAGTGGTTTCCCTTCGCGGGTCTAAA